AATTATTATCCTTTGTAAACTAACGAACAGAAATTAAATTTTTAGAGATGTTTGGACAAACCAAGACATTATTAAGTTGAAATGAATGATCCTTAGACAAGAGCATACTATGACCAATATGAGAAACAGGTAAAAGCTGACCATTACCAACTTGAATAGACTCACAACCAGTATAAGGAATAGAAGAAGATAAATGACCTGAATTTTTTTAAGACATGAACTGCAGCACCAGAGTCAAAATAACAGCTAGGATCACCACTGACAGTGGAAGCATTATCAGCTATGAAGGTCTGAGGATAAGAAAGCTGCTGTGAAGTACGAGGTATAGATGGACAATCACGAGCTTGATGGTTTGGTTGAAGACACCATTGACAGATCACAGGTGTAGACAGCAAAGGAGGGAGAGTAGTATTATCCCATGAAAATCTTGTAGCAGGACCAGATCTTGAAGATTGATAGCCATGAGAGGTGAGTGGTCGAGATGATGAATAATCTGGCCGAGGATGATAATTTTGTTGGTTGTGAAACCGTCCTCCACCAAAATACTTTTGTTGTTGTCCATTAAATCTTGCACCAGAATACCGACCTCTGCCTCGACCCCAAAAATTATTTCGACCACAATTATTGTTTCTGTTTGGAGGTCGAGGAGAGTAATTAAAATCTCTTTATTGTTGTGAAGAGGTAGAAGAGAACAAGACTTGTGGAGATGAAAAGGGAGCTACAGCCATGGCTTGTCTAGATTCACGCAACACAGTAGCTTCCTCAATCAACAACAGGGAACGAAGTTGATTAAAAGAAGGAAAGGGCACCCTTTGAGGTATAGTGCGTTTAGAAACAGTATAAGCAGAATCAAGTCCAGCCAAAGTATGCAAAACCAGATCTCGATCAGAAACAGATTCACCAATTCCAAATAATCGATCGGAAGTAGTCTTGGTACGTTGAAGAGATGATATCGTAGATTGTTCTGGTTCTTTCTTTAAAGCCATGAACTCCTGACGATATAACATGGACTGAGCAACAAGTTGATCTTGGTGAGATTCTTGAATCGCATCCCATGCTTGCTTTGTAGTAAGTGATCTTCCTGGTTGAATAATCATTTGAAGAACCTCAGAAGCAATAGTAGATTGAATCCAGGAGAGAACTTGACAGTCTATTTGGTGCCATTGCTCAAAAGTGGAATCCATAGGTGATGGGCACGGATCGAATCCATCAACATATCCATAAACTCCTTTGCTGCGAAGAACAGGAATCATGAGTTCTTTCCAAAGCATAAAGTTTTGATGGGTCAATGTTTTAGGGACAAGATGTTTAATATTTGAGGCTGAGAACACAGGATGAGTAAAAATTGAGGAATTTGTATTTGGTATGACAGGATTAAGAACAGGGATAATGGGAAGTGTTGATTCAGAAGAGATCACTGGAGTAGTGGTAGTGGTAAGGGCTGAAGAAGACGCCATGAATACAAGACACAAAGAAACTAGAGAAGAAAAGAGGAAACCTAGACGGCGAAAAACCTAGGAGAAGCTTATCAATTTGATGCCCTAATTCGTAGCTCTGATACCATAAAACAGTGTGAATGCCGTGAGTATTATCATTGATCAAACTCATATATATACAGCATATAATGGACAAAATTACACAATTGCCCTTCACTAATATATAATACTCTATCAACACAAAAGAACCAAAAAAAAAATCATACTCAAAATCTAAAAAAAAAAATGGATTATGGAGGAAAAACGCAAACCTCAAAAATGAAAGCTTTTGAAATTGGAATGAAAATAAAAATGAATAGAAGGATTATGGAAAGGAATTTAGGAACTCACTAGCTTTGGATGAACTCTGAGGCCTGAGCAGATTCATAAATATTTAGAATCACTCCCCTGCATGAATCACCGAAATTTGGTCAAAGACTAAAACTGATTATTTGAATAACAGAATCATAATATGTTAGTATGTTTCAGAGACGAAGATGTGTTTTCTTCAAAGTAAGAGATTAAAAAGAAATTTCTGCTTAGCATAATACTTAAATGATGTGGAATGAAGGGATTAGGGATCCAGAAATTAAACATACCATGGAAAATTTGCATTCGCCCTGCACGTTCTTGTAATGGATTCTAATATTGGGAATGTGGGAGATCTTGGACCATTCAGGGCTCCTCTTTTTGGCTCAACTTTTCTTCAATTTGGGACAATGTCGAATGCCAAGATATTGTAAGTTGGAGAGGCGTCGCATGGCTTCAATAGAAGGCAGATGAGTCAAATTAGGACAACTCCAAATTACCAACCTGTGAAGAGAAGAGAGGTCTCCCAACCGCTCTGGCAAAGCTTCCAGGCCATTGAACTTCAATAACGTCAATTCCTTGAGGGCAGTGAGATGTTGAAGCTGATGTGGCAGAGACTCTAGTGTATCCCATTCATACAATTCCAATTTTTCAAGGGAGGTGTGGAGTTTATGAATGGAAGTTAGTCTAGGAAAATCCTCCAACTCCGACCAGAAATGACCAAGGTGTAACCCCTTCAAGCAAGTGAGGCTAGCTAGCCACTCCCCTGAAATGCTCCTTAGATTTTCGCATTCTATGATTCTAAGAACATCGAGAGAATGCAATTTCCTGATGTCTTCTGGAATGGAAATCAAATTAGGGCAACTTCTAATTGCCAACTGCTGAAGAGAAATGCAAGAGTCTAACCCAATTGGAAGACACGTTAATCCATCACAACGAGTAAGGTAGAGTCTTTCAAGATATGTGAGCCCATTCATACTTAGAATGGAGTTCAGATTTTGGCATTGGAAAATTTTCAACAACTGAAGAGAAATGCAAGAGTCTAGCCCAATTGGAAGACACGTTAATCCATGGCAACAAATAAGGTTGAGTCTTTCAAGAGATGTGAGCCCATTTATACTTGGAATGGAGTTCAGATTTTGGCATCCGTTAATTTCCAACAACTGAAGAGAGATGCAGGATCCAAGCCCGATTGGTAGACTTGTTAATCCATCATAGGAGAATAACTCTAATTTCTCAAGAGCTGAGAGCCCATCTAAACTAGGGATAGTCGTCAGACTTAAACAGTGTTCTATTAGCAGCTCGGAGAGTTTGTGATGAGATGAAAATCCACCCATCGACCAAGTCTTCAACAATGGACATTCAAAAATCAGCAACTTCTCAAGGCAAGGAAACACGATCACACCTTGGCTCCCTATAGCTGCATCCTCTACAACTTCAACCCATTCCTCTAGCCTTTCCATGTCACATACGACGAGTGTTTTCAAAGCTGGGAACAATCTGATTGATTCTACTCCACCGAGCTGAAGCTTGTGACCCATTCTTCTAACATTTTCCATTCTTTCAATGCAAAGAACCTTAAGACTAGGCAATAGTCCCAAACTTGGAATACATGTGCACTTATCACAATTAATTAACTGCAACTCCACCATGTTGTAAAGAAGGAATGAAGGACCAGAACTATTGATATCATTCCCCATCCAAGATGGGAACATCTTTCCTTTATAACCATTAATACTGAGGCTTTTCAAAGTTGAATGAGGTTGAAGGCCTTTTAGAACCTCTTCATCATTGTTGTTGTTGACTGCTCTTTCATTGCCACTACTCCAATGTAATGTCAATTGATGCAATTTTGTCTTTTCTTTCAGGTTTGCTTTAGAGGCTTCTAATTTGGATCTTACATGTTCAAGCTTCAAAATCCCTAGTTTTCCTCCAAGTTGGCTTAAGCATCCAAGGTTTTCAATCTGGCATCCCTTTTTTGTGCCGACAACAAAGTGTGATAATGTTCGAAGGGAGGTTAACTGCATGATAGATATATCATGTGGATGAATAGAATAGATATGCCTCCAGCTGATGAGATTTGCTATGCCATTGGGACCACAATCGAGAAATTTTGAAGTTTGCAAATTATAGAGCTTAGAGAAGGTTTTTGGTGCTACTGTTACATAAGCTCTTGAGATATCAAGGTATTTCAAATGTTTCAATTTGCCGAGAAAAGTTGACAACTTCTTATTCTGAACTGCCATTAATTTCATGGATTGCAAGCTTTTGAGATCTGATGCCATGCTACAAAAAACATCAACATCTGAAAACAAAGAATGCAACCTTTGAGCAACACTTCTTGGAATGGTTGGAAGATCCTTTCCATTGGACTGGACTCTCAAATGTCGAATAGTACTACAATTTTGAACATCAAAAATTGCAACTAGTGTCCCAAACCAAGGTCTCACCTTTTGACACAAGCAATGCAAGATCATGCAATACATCATGCATTTTGCAAGATTCAATATTCCCATAAAGATCCCATTTAATATCTTGAAGTAAAGAATTAGATAACAACTGATTGAAATACTCATTACCAATATCCTCCATTTCCACAAGGCTTCCATTAGAATTGTGAAGAAACCCTTGAGCCATCCAAAGTTGAATTAAATCATCTTTGAAAATGACAGCATCCTTTGGAAAAATTGAACAATAAGAGAAGCACGTTTTTAAGGATGAAGGAAAACAATCGAAACTAATTTTCAATATAGATAAAATCTTCTTATTTTCATCTTGCAAAATCCATGCTTCATCATCTAGGATCTCTTGCCACTTATCTATCTTCATTTCATGACTCAGTGCTCCTCCAATTACACTTGCAACTAATGGCAACCCCCCACATTTTTTGGCAATTTCTTGTCCAATACCTACTAAATCCAAAGGTATTGAAGTTTCTGTTGATGATCTGAGAACTACAACCTCAATTATCAACCAACATTCATGATCTGATAGCTTTAGCATATCATGTTTTTGCATTGGAGGTGCCTCCATTATGGATGCTACCGTATCACTACGAGTAGTCACAAGAATGGAGTTTCCACTGGTTTTTAAAATTTTTAACAAACAAGATTTAAAACTATCCCACTTGTCTCTATCATCATTCCACATATCATCAAGAACTAAAAGAAATTTTCTATTTTCTAACTTCTGCCCAGGCTTCTGAATAAGTGCGTCTATATTATTCATTTGACCAGCAAAGCCATCAAGGTATTCTAACATATCTCCCAATATTGTTTTCTCATCAAATTCCTCGGACACACAAACCCAAGCCACCAGATCATACAACTTTTGTTCTTTTACCATACTGCATATTGATTTTGCTAATGTTGTCTTGCCTATGCCCCCCAAGCCTACTATTGAAATGCCAGAGAGGAGATGTTGACTCCTTATGTTCTCCAGCTTGTTGACAATTTCTAAGACATCATTATCCCTTCCGACAAATTTTAAACAATCAAGGATGGAATCTGTCCTAGGATATGGCCTTGCACCAGCAGTGGAATGACTTTGGTCACTAAATTTGATTAGCAAATCTGAAACCCCATGGTTGTTGATTTTAACCAGAGTCCTATTAATCTTCCTAATATTATCAGCCATGCTAAGACGAAAGGCAATGGGATTGAAAAGAGCAAAGAAGGTGCGCACTTGTTTCCTCTTTCGGCGTTGAGTCTGAACTTTGTGCTTAAGAACCTCATAACCGTACTCATCCAGTACATCCATTGCATCATAAGCTACATCTCTGAGCTGCTGTAACCAATTCCATATGGCTGGATTGCTTTCTTGCCTCCCTTCAGCATCTTGAAGCAATCCTTGGATCATAGTTAGTGTTTGAGTGAGCTCCCTCAGCTCCTTCTCCAGACCCCATGCCTTGCTGATTTGTGCAGCAGCAAGTGAAATTGCTTTAGAAACTGCATTCTCTATGATTGGGGTGACGAAGTTAAGGACGAGTTCAGCCATTATGCTTAGAGACTCAGAGAAAGACGGCTACCACAATTAAACTCTGTAAAAGAAAAGGGGAATAGTGTTAAGGGAGCAAAGATTGTAGCAGTAACTGGACTAAAAATAGGTTGAAATGTTGATGAAGTATCTACAAATAAAACGTAATCACTTACCAGATATGCTCCTAAAATGCTTAGCCACACAGAAAGATAGCAAACGCAAGAGAATCCTGAGAGACAAACAGAGATGATGTTTGTGAGAAAACTAAGCACAGATGAGGAGGAATTGAAAAGCAGCCCTGCTTTTATAGACCAGAGACACCACTATAGCCATACGCGCATATGGATTTCTAGTTAGCCAATGCAATTATGTTTTTGTGATATTTTCCTTCTTATGCTTTTCTTTTTCTTGAAAAAAGAAAAATGTGGAGGAAATATAAAAATAATACAAATCTAAGAAAATTTTATTCATTTTAAGTAAAGCACTACTAAAAATTATTTAATGTTGACCGAAAGATATAATAATATAAGAATCCATATAGGGCCACATTTTTCCTTCCTTCGTGTGGCTCAAGGAAACCCACCTATTCTTATCTGAGACTTCCCGTTCGTGGCTGAGACAAACGTCTGGAAACCGCTCAGAGCCACTCCTCAAGTTTTCTCTCCTTTTTTTCTATTTCGTAGTTACCAAAAGCCATACGGTTTCAAATTCTCTACACATTTTCCAATCCAGAAGGTAACCAAAACCGCATAACAGCCAATATGAAGAGGGGCCGGGAAGAGGCATCGATGGTGCGTCGTGGGGTTTCGTCTCTTGAATCTCCAAGTGTGGCATCATCGACAAAAACCTCAGCTCATGAGCATTGTAGCCATGCGAAGGAAGAATGTTTCTTTTTTGTCTTCTTTTTGCTAAGAAGGAATAATTCTTTAAGCAAATTTGGTTTCTTTCTCTCTTCCGTTGAAGAAACCTGAAGATTAGTTTGCGTAGCCTTAACATCTTTAAATTCAGTTGGAATATGTAATTAGTCTAAGCTTCTAATTTGGGTTTTCTCTTTTGTCTCTCAATTCGATGGAGTTACGTAGATTTTTAAATGGATATTCGGTGTTTCTTGGCTTGCTTCCTTCTCTTTTTTTTGTTTTATTCTACTTAATTTTGAACTTAAATTACACTTTCTTTCTAATCTAGGTTGACCTATATAAATGAATCAATATATCAAGAGGAGTTTGCAGAATTAACTTAGTTTGAATTGATTAGTTTTATGTTCTGTTTAGTTACTGTGAGGGTATTTTGTATGTAGAAAATCTAAATGTTTCCTCTGTTTTTTTTAGTACATATAGTCTTTTACACTTTGTTCGATTGAAGAAATTAGAGGGAAAAGAGAGGAGAGTGAGGGAGAGAGAACGCATTCTCTTATTTGGATAAATCATTTTAATAGGGGGGGAGAGAGATGGAGTCCCCATCCTTTATTTTTAATCCCTTCGATTTGAAAAAATTAAAACAGATTATATTAT